AGGTTGCTCCCTCTCAACTTGACTGGCAAAGCAGCACACGAAGGGATGTACCTACCCCCATCCCACCCCATGCAAAGGATAAAAAGCATTGCTGAGAGCTAAAAGAGACAGGCATACATAAAACGTAGGAACGCGAAGGTGCTCCCCTGTGTACAGGAACAGCGCAGACACCTGGCAGGGGCAGGGAAAGGAAAGGCAACAGGCTGGGAGAGGTGGCTGCAAGGCTAGGAGAGGAACAAGAACACCTGAGATACAACTGCAAACAAGGCCTTTTAGCAAAAAGGCAGCATCAAGGGCCAAATTCTACCTGCAAGGGTTGCAGCTGTCTCACAGAGATGACAGCACCTCTCCCACTACCTTTTTACGGCTTCAGGCTCCCATAGCCCCTTGTTTTCCCTGTTCCCAGGTCAGCTAGACACAGAGCATCCAATGCATGACCTCACACTGCTTTGGATGCAAAGCGGCAACTGCTCTCCCTTGATTTTTCAAATAAACCTGTCACACTGCAGAACAGTAAGGCCAATCATCATATGGGTTTGTAGCCACAGAAATCTCCCAGCCTAGGTACCAGTCATATATTTGAAACTCCCTAAATGCCATGAAAAGGAGTTTAAGCTGTCATCCTAATCTTGCACCAAATCAGATCAAACTGCTCGCACAACCCTAGACCTCAGCTGAGCTGCAAAGGCAGCATCTCCTCCAGAAGAGTAATAAGCTCTCACACAGGCTTCCCGAAATCTGGAAAAATTAGACCACCAACACTCTCGGTCACTTACAGAGCGGTTATCGACCCAGAACAGCTACATCCACACCAAGAGCTAGCGCAAAGCCGTTATGTTCAACAAAGCCCAGGCCAGTAACTGGCCCGCTTCTGATGAGCGGGTATCTGAAGGTCTCTTGAAGGCTTGAAACTCTCCTCAAGCCAGCTTCAGTGCATCTCAGTTGTGTTCCTGCCATTTTTGACTCCAAAACTACCACCATTGCAGCGGAGTAAAGAGATAGAGCCACTTAGAGACTGCATAATTATTTGAAATGAACTTGCACAGCTGGAAGTAGGAACAGGCAGAGCCAAGTCCCAGAGCTGGCAGGTTGCTTTCCCTGGACTTGTGAGCTTGATCCCCGAGTCCTCTAACCCCAGCTGGAGCCTGCTGCCCTCCAAGCACCTCACCTGCTTTTGACCACAAGCCAAAAGGTAAACCCAGCATTTTCTCATCAGGCTGGCTACCAGGTGTTCCTGCACACAAATAGATTGCTTGAACTCCTGATCACTAAGAGGTGAGAGGTAAAGTGATCAAAGGAAAATAATTCCTTCAGTGTAGAGGAAAAGAAGGTTAATGGAAGTGGTCAACATGGATTCCAAAAGGGGAAATCACGCTTGACTAATCTGACAGCCTATGATGGCATGACTGGATGGGTAGATGAGAGCAGCAGCGGACATTGTCTACCTCAATTTCAGCAAGGCTTTTGACACTGTCTCCCTTAATATCCTCATAGGTAAGCTTAGGAAGTGGGGACTAGATGAGTGGACAGTGAGGTGGATTGACAACTGGCTGAATGGCAGAGCTCAGAGGGTTGTGATCAGTGGTGCAGAGTCTAGTTGGAGGCCCATAACTAGCGGTGTTCCCCAGGGATCAGTACTGGGTCCAGTCTTATTCAACATATTCATCAATGACCTGGAGGAGGGGACAGAGTGTACGCTCAGCAAGTTTGCTGATGACACAAAACTGGGAGGAGTGGCTGACACATTGGAAGGCTGCGCCACCATTCAGCAAGACCTGGACAGGCTGGAGAGTTACACAGAGAAGAACCCAATGAAGTTCAACAAGGACAAGTGTAGGGTCCTGCACCTCGGGAGGAATAACCCCATGCATCAGTACAGGTTAGGGGCTGACCTGCTGGAAAGCAGCTCTGCAGCGAGGGACCTGGGAGTCCCGGTGGACAAAAAGTTGACCATGAGCCAGCAATGTGCCCTGGTGGCCAAGAAGGCCAATGGTATCCTGGGGTGCATTAAAAAAGAGCATGGCCAGCAGGTCAAGGGACCCTCTCCTTCTACTCTGCCCTGGTGAGGCCACATCTGGAGTACTGCCTCCAGTTCAGGGCTCCCCAGTTCAAGAAAGACAAGAAACTACTGGAGAGAATCCAGTGGAGGGCTAGAAAGAAGATCAAGGGAACGGAGCATCTCTCTTACGAGGAAAGGCTGAGAGACCTGGATCTGTTTAGCCTGGAGAAGAGAAGAGTGAGAGGGGATCTCATCAATGCTTTTCAATATCTAAAGGGCAGGTGTAAAGAGGATGGGGCCAGACTTTTCAGTGGTGCCCAGTGACAGGACAAGGGGCAATGGGCACAAACTGGAACACAGAAAATTCCATCTGAATATGAGGAAAAACTTCTTTACTTTGAGGGTGACAGAGCACTGGAACAGGCTGCCCAGAGAGGTTGTGGACTCTCTTTCTCTGGAGATATTCAAAACCTGCCTGGATGCATTCTGGTCCAACCTGCTCTAGGTGAACCTGCTTTGGGGCAGGGGGCTTGGACTAGATGATCTCTAAATCAATCCCTATCATTCTGTGATTCTGTTTGATCATGTCTGCTCTTTTCTTTTACCCCACCTAATACAGTTTCTTCATAAAGAGCTTTCTAGATGAACAGTAACAGCACAGACTAAAAAGACCACAGTAAGCATCCAGTGACAAGCTTTCTCAAGTGAACAAACAGACAGAAACTTGCACCTTTATTCAAAGCTGACAGTAAGTGGCCTCACCATTCCTCAGTAGCCACATTATTTTGTTCTGAAGCTTTGATAATCTTTGCGTCCTTGGCACAGCTCTGTAATAACCAGTCAAGCTCTGGAATGGCTCCTGTCCCATAAGTACATTTCTGAACAAAAAGCTAAATTGGAACTAGCAAAAATAGCCACCCTCCTGCTCACATGAAATCACACTACCTATAACCCAGTTTGCAAGCAGCACTGACATATGGAGACTAAACTCTGCCTAATCCTCTCCTGCCTATATCCGGCAGCAGCAGTACACTCAGAGGGGTGGGAAGTGCAGTGTAGAAGGGAAAATAGTTGAAATGATGAGTCTTAAAATCACATTAATTTGCACCTTTCTTCCTTGGAAGTGTTGAAGGGCATGAGAAGAAATGAATCCTTTTCGTTCCAGATGCAGAACTCCCTTTTTGAGGCATAGAGGAGGTGTGTTGCCCAGAGCTGGTCCAGTCAGGGCACCCCATCGCTCTCAAGTAATACACGAGTAGTGCTTTCACCCTCGGGGAGAGGCAAATCTGGTTACACAGGAGTAACTCTATCAGCCTCTAACTGCAATACAAAAAGAAAAGCAGCCTTTCCTCAGCATACTGCAGACACGCTGTACTGATGCACCACGTCCACAGTGGAAAGAGGGGACAATTAAGTAATAGAAACAAGAGGCACTGAATGAAACTAGGAATCGGGTTCAAACAAAAGAAGTGGTTCCTCTTGCGGGTGGCAGCTTGGTGAGGAACTCCTTGGCTAAGAGCGCTGTAGGAACTGAAAGTTTACACAGGATCAAGGGGAAAACAGAATTTCCTGGAAAAGAAAACCACTGATAGTTTTATGCCTGGTCCCACAGTTAGGGACAGGAGACGAAGCGAAGGGCATCTTTGATCAGACCACAGATAGCTCAGCAGATGTAGGAAGAGGCTGTAAGTACCAGCCATTCCAATCACAAGAACCACCCGTTTCTAGCAACAGTTAAAGCAGTTTGATCTAATACAAATTGTGTGTCATGGCAGTATTTGATCCTCTAAATTGATTCTCACTGTCTGTTTTATGTACATTTCTGTATTTTAGAATAGCTTGAACCAAATGAATTTTCAAAAACAGCTATATTTTTCATTACTTTATGTAACAGATTTTTCCATTCACACACTTTCCAGACACAGCTACTGAAATTGAATACATATATTGACTGTGCTGTTTGTAAACACAAGTCTGGTTTTGTCTTTATAAGTAGAATGCATTCTAATTTAAAGACCAAAAAGGTGTTATGCAGAACCCGAACGACTTTCACAAGCCAACCTTCATTTTCTTCTGTTGAGAAGTATGTTTCTTTTCCAAGTTCTAGTCTAACTAAAAACAAATGTTATCCAAGAGCAAGTCAAACACTACACCACTTACAACTACTGTTGGAACATTTAAATGCAGACCACTGCAACAGATTAATCCCCAACGGAGAGTTATAGCACAGCTTTAACAGCAGTAGTGACGTCCCCAGCACGCACACACCGATGCAATCTCCACTACAGAACACAGCAAGAGTTTGCATGGCATCCTCAGCATGATTTTACTTCCATATTCTCATGTGATAAACACCTTTTCCCACTAATCTTTCAACACTGACAGTTTTAAACATAGGTAAAGTGTTCTAGAGCAACAATTTAAAATGCTAAATTTCAAGAAGAATATAAACCTGTATCTGCATGCTTTCAAAATGCCTGTATGAGACGCATATTAGATAAAAATCAATGCATTCCTTCTTTGTAGACAGACCTCACAAATCATGACCAACTCAGAAGTTCCAGTTAAACTGTAACTTTCACTCCAGCCTCTGCTTACATTACAAAACCACAAAAAAAATGCAAGAGTGTTACCACCACTTGAGCATGAAGAGCAGGCCTGTAGTATGTTTGACTCAAGCATTACCATCCACACGGCAAACAAAAAATCCCCCCGCCCACCACCTCCACACAGGTACACACGCAAAAGCTTTATGACAAATCACTTAGATTAGATGCTTTTTTTCTAATAGACCCCTAATATAGCACTACTAAAACTTTGCTGAATTAATTAACATATTTGCATCACATAGACAAGAATCATGGTTATAGGAGAGAGATTTTGTGTATGCACTGCTGCTTTTCAAGGCTGTGGTAGTTGTACGCCTTCTCAATTGTTATACTTTCTAGCACAGTTTTTTTCTAGTAAAATATTACGCATTTTGTTTGTTCAGTCAATTCTCTCAATACTGAAAAAGCATTTTATTGAAAACTTCTAAAAGGACACAGTCTTCACAACTAAAGCAAGAATCTGGCACAGAATGCGCTCAGAATTTTTTACAAAGTAATTACAATCAAAGAAAAAATGCCTACATAAATCAGTACAAGTATCAAAGTATAAAAGCTACAAGACAAGAAAATGATAGTTCTTGCAATGTAAAACACGCTTCAAGAGCTGTATCCTGTTCTCACACCTTTCATGATGTAACTTTCGTTCGGGAAATGATTTCATTCACAAAACTGTTGTTCTTTGCCAACACATCATTTCTCAGCTGTTTCAGCTTGATTTTGATGTCTTCTTCTGACATATCTGTCAGGGGCAATGCTTTCACTTGACAAAGAAAATCCTGAATTATCTTTTCACCTTCCTGAAACAGAGAGAGAAGGAAAAGAAAACAGAAGGGATGTTTAGATTGCAAGCAGGATTTTTTCAAATTCTGACAAAGTTACAAAGTATTATTTAGCACCAGAAACTTTTTATGGGCAAAACCTAACATTATTTCTGCACTTGCTATCACATTCTTAACATCAGAACAATCCAGTTATACTGGGATCAGGGTTTCCTTCCTCTTTCAATCCATGAGCAAAAAGTGTCAGCAGAAATAGAGTATTTAACATTGAAAGCTCCTGTATGTGTTCCACATTTAATTCCAGTTTGCAACCGCATTAGGTGAGGATTGCTAGCAATAATAGCATCAGAGTGGCCATATTACCCAAACTAGTTACTTTTTGGAGGAACTGTAAATCAAAACCAATGTTTCAATATGCAAAAGATAAGAACAAATTGTAACCAAGCAACAGGAGAGTGGCCGTCACCAAGGAGAACAGATGATAATTAAGCTTTATGCATATGCTTTTACACAAACGGGCAAAGTGGAACTTCTAAACAATCTGAATTGAATAGCAGAAGCAAACATTGCAATGAATAGTATTCAGGATGCCTGTATTAGAAACAATTTGCCTAGAACACAGAGTTTTGTCTAGTCCTCTTGATTTTGCATTTTAGGACTATACTACAAAGCTTTCTTAGTTTTATCATTTAGGACTAATGCAGTGTGCTTTCAGTGCCGAAGTCTCTGAAGGACTTGGAAATGTAATAGCACACTTTTCCCTCTAAACACGATGTTAACAAAGGCAGGCAAATTGCCTGGGTGAGACATCTAAAGCTATGCCATCCTATTGCCCAGAGAGTTTACAAAATATTATGTATTTCTGAAATACCCAAGAATGAAACATGATGCTATATTTGTCAGATGTGTTTGCCATGTCGATTTAATTTACACCAACTTGAGACCACACAGCCAGATCCAACTAATCTGAAAAATACTTCACCATGATACCTATCAAGCTGGTAAAGGAAAGGTAATAGAGGAGCAACCGAGGTAGTTGGAGAGGGAACCTCTTGGCACTAAAAGGTAGAACAAACCAGAGATTATTCATCCACAACATCAGACCAACTTACTTAGCCAGGAACAAATGCAGTAGACCTCTAAATCTGAAAATAAAGCAACAGGGAACAGCCCCTGTCCAGAACAAAGGCTTTTTAAATGTAGAAGGTACTTTGAATATGGCCTAAGACTTCAAGGCTTCCATATACTGCAGTATTACCAAGATTGCCACGGATGTATAGGAGGAGATAAATGAATTACAAGGCTGTGAAGTTTCAGGCCAACTACTGGGACACAGAACTAAGATCTGTAAGCACATTTATACGCATGCAGCAAGGAGGACCTGACTATTGGCAAAAAAACAATGCAAGTCATAAGGCAGCACATGGATTTCCCAAGAGGCTGCACTGGATGTCACCATAAGGACTCTTAATCCAGCAACAAGACAACACACGCTATTCTGAAAAAGCTTCCTGCAAGCTATTGTTTTCCTTTACACTCCCTGCTAATGAAGCTTCTTTAAAGAGAAAGAAGAGAAAAAACAGTTCACTCATAGCTTTACACAACTGTATTACACAATGTAGACATGATCAGATCGATGCTGAGATTTGGGTTTCCTCAACTTGTGCTTGAAGCCTGTGCAAAGCCAAGAGCATTTTACTTCTCAGTCGAGTAGCGAGAACCAAGCCAGAATTCTCACATGTGAAATGGGAAGAACTTTATGACATCTGTAAATTAGACATTCCCGGTCTAAATTGTCATGCCCTTCAATATTACCAGCTTGTGAGATGTCTTAGTACTGATGGGACATGGAAGGGCACACAGGAGAAAGCTGTGTATTCAGCTTTTCTCTGATGTGAACAGATCTGAACACGTTCACATTGAGCTTCAAGAAATGAGCACTAATGAACCCCCAAATAAGGGGGAGCAAAACCAGGTGCAACCCACCTGGCTGAAGAGTGTAGGGGTTTAACACCAGCTGGCAACTAAGCACCACGCAGCTGCTCGCTCACTCCCCCCTGGTGGGGTGGGGGAGAGAATCAGAAGAGTAAAAGTGAGAAAACTCATGAGATAAAGACAGTTTAATAGGTAAAGCAAAAGCCGCGCACCTAAGAAAAGCAGAGCAAGGAATGCATTCACTGCTTCCCATCGGCAGGAAAGCAGGGCTCCATCATGAGCAACAGTTACTTGGGAAGACAAACACGGTAACTCTGAACATCCCCCCTCTTCCTTCTTCTTCCCCCAGCTTTTATTGCTGAGCATGACATCATATGGCATGGAATAGCCCTTTGGTCAGTTGGGATCAGCTGTCCCAGCTGTGTCCCCTCCCAGCTTCTTGTGCCCCCCCCCTCTCCGCCACTTGCTGGCAGGGGGGTATCAGTAGCAGAAAAGGCCTTGATTGCTTAGCAACAATCAAACCACCAGTGCACTATCACACTGTTCCCAACCCAAATCCAAACCATAGCACTATACTAGCTGCTAGTAAGTTAACTCTATCCCAACTGAAACCATGACAAGAGCCAAGAATAATCTAAACAACAATTAATACAACAACTACAGCTTAAGTCCCAATAAATACTGCATACAAACTAAGTAGCCAACTAAAGCAGTGAACACAAAATTCTGGCTTGGTTCACACCATAAACAAAACCCCACAGGACAGCTAAAGACATGGTCACTTGTATGACTCCAGTTCTATGCCAATCATGCTAACTGCTGATCATTATTCTGTAAGAAAACAGTTTCATTCTCACTACTACATTTTTAGATAAAATTCTTGCCTATGTTAACTTGAAATGAATCTAAACCTAAACCCACCATCCTAGAACAGCTCTTCAATGCCTAATGAAGTTTATAGCTAAAACATTTTGTTGTGGAAAAATGAGATTATAGTTAATTATCCTCAAGCTTTGGGGGAATGTGAATCCTAAAACTATTTTGCTTGAGCTATTTCAGTTAAACA